CCACCAGATTTTTATTTAAAACTGTACTCCTTTTTCTCACTTCGTCCGCCATTACGAGCAGGAGAAAAATCTCTGGTCGGCCCGYAGTGCATCTTGGGATAAGGTGGATCAAGAAGGCTCCATTGGACCAGCCCCTCAAATCAGGGGAAAAGGAGGACACATTAGTCCACAGCATCRGAGGAGTCTTCGGACAGAAACAGGCGCGGCACTGTGACATAAGTGGCTGATAAATTCGGCCTTCGGAGGACGCAGCCTCTCTATTCGGACACTGCTTATGGACGTCCAGACATAAGCTGGCATTGAGTTCATCTGTGTYGATGTCCTGGTAGTGACCGCTTTGATCTGGTGACCTGATGTGCAGTAACCTAGAAAAAAGGAAAAAATGACAGTTTAGCTCAACTGTTGAGCTTCTCTTCTCTGAGCTCTGCTGTGAAATAAACTTTAAGCAAGTTTAGCTGACAATTTCTCCACCACTGACTGTTTATAAAAGATCCCCAGTTGTGAAAAGTAAAGCTGTTGCAGAAAGACTTTTAMAGTACAATACCACAGAAAATACTGCTGTTGCAGTGATTGAACTCGCTGCCTTTGAATTTATTGCATTATTTCGGGATTTTTTTTTTCTTTTTACCCAGTAACTTTAAAGGTGTAACCATGGTTTTTGCTTCAAATWTAAGCTTTAAAATATTAGATATCTGTGAAACACTATGTTCCTGTTTAGGAAATGACGTCAGAGGAGAGGTCACTGATTCAAGATCTTGAAAAGTGCGACTTTGGAGAAATCCACGCCATGCACAAAGCCAAAGTGGAAGCTAGAAAAAACATGAGCAAGGAGGAGAAATTGGTAAACTTATTTTATTTATCCTATAATTTTAGTTTTGAAGCGTGTCCATTTTTGTGTCTGATGCTTTTTAATATTTGTTGTAGGCTTTGAAGGAAGCCAATCAGAAGATAGTGGAGGAATATGGCTTCTGTCTGCTGGATCACCACAAAGAACGAATTGGAAATTTCAAGATTGAGCCACCAGGTTTGTTCCGAGGAAGAGGCGAACATCCCAAACAAGGAATGCTGAAGAAAAGGATCCAACCTGAAGATGTCATCATCAACTGCAGCAAGTGAGTGGGATAAATAAATAAATAAACCTATAAAAAATGTCCCCGTTTAAAATCATACAACATAATAACTTGATCTTTTTAATTGGATTTTCACAATCATTTATTCAAACTAGTGTGGATTGTAGGACAGAAATGATTGTTTTTCCCTTTTTATTACTTGTCTGATGGAGGAAATGTAATGTACTGTTCAAAACAATAACATGTCCTGCTGTGGTTCTCTATTTTTTTCCTTATTTTTCTGGCATTCTTACAATCCAAAACCACCGTTACTCACTTTTAAGTCAATAAATATTTGGGATTTTCAGTCTTTGAAATGAAATGTAAAATGTGCTCAGTTTAGTTAGACCAAATATAACTTACTCCCTGATTTGATGTGATGTTTCACATTTCTCTCTGACACTTTTTAAGTTGTAAACAGAGACGGGACCCATCATGATGACTGTTTAGTGATTTACCACTAATTTAACAAGACAAGTTTGCTTTGTTTTCAATTTGAGCGACAACCATTTTCTCTATCAAAGTGATTGCTTCAAACAATAGTGCACATTGTTGTAAGTTTGTCATTCGTATTTACCTGGTGTGATTAAATAACAGCTGAAATCAGATGCATTAGCTGCAGACGGGTATGATTGCTGAGGTTTTTGTATTTGTCAATATTTTAAACTCAAACCAAACAGATGTCGTTAAAAAATTCATTGTGTATTTTTTAATAGAGAGCATAACTAGTAAAAAACAAAACAAAAAATCGAAGGTAAATTTTAGTGAAAAAAGGGTGGAATATTAAAAAAAAGTTGTTTATTTCTCCTGAATAAATTGCAGTCTATCAAAGTAGTTTCAGTCTATATTTCTTCCCAATTATCCCGGCCCCTGCAGTGGCACAGAGGACCCCAGGGAAACATGCTCTGAACTCATAAACCACTGAGACTGTTGACATGTTTCATGACTTATTGTCTCTTTCTGCCAGAGAGTCCCGGATCCCCGTACCACCCGCTGGTCACCGCTGGAAGGAAGTACGACATGACAACACTGTGACATGGCTCGCCAGCTGGACGGAAAATATCCAGGGCTCAATTAAATACATCATGCTCAACGCAAACTCTAAACTCAAGGTAGTCTGCTTCGAATAGGAGGGAATGCAAATGGTTATGTTTGCAGCAAATGTTGTAAACGTTTACAACCAGATAGCTTTGTAATAGGACTGTCAAATGATTAATATTTTTTATCTGATTAATCCAAAAGTAGCTGTGAATTAATCGTGATTAATCTTAAATTTAATATACATTTCTATTGCATATTGATAAAATAAATTACTTGTTATTAATTAGTTTTTAATGTTTTTATTTAGAAAACAAAACTGATGCTTAGACATGATTTTTTTGAATATAAAACAGGACCTAAAAATGCTCCAAACATACTTGAGTCAGTTAAATTTTGTCCAGAATAATGAGGTTAAATCAAGATTTCAAGGATTTTCATTCCAAATGTGTACTACATGAGGAATGAAAGATAGATACTAAGGTCACAGATGTCAGCAAAACATAAATAAATAAAATAAAATAAGCCGTAAGACAAAAAGAAAAAAAAACCTACATAATATGTTACACATGGAGTTTTTATTTTATTTATTTAACCTTTTAATTATCCAGGGGGGGTGGGGGGGTTTCTGGTAGACATTTCCAATCTAACAAAACTCATGAAGGATGGTGGTGTTGAGAGGCAAAGTCAAAGCTTCAGGCTTTTTATGTTTCCTTGAATTGATGGAAACCTTTATAACAGAATCAAAAACATTAATCAACTTTTGACAAGAACATTTAAAGTGGGGTTATTATGTAATTTCTAGACACGTAATCTTTTTTTTATTATTTGGTCTATCTAAATTCCTTGAAATTGGCCTCTGTCTCTACTGATTCTGACACTCCCACTTCATGTTTTCACAACAGTGGTTTGGGGGAGGGGTGCTTTGTGGGGCAGGGAGGAACTTTGCACAAATAGGCGGAGCTTTGTACCAGCAAGTGTTTAGGCAGCTCCACATGGCTACCGCAGAAGATGCAAGGATTTCTCAAACATGCATGCATAAGTCAAAGTAACACTCTGGGTATGTTTTGATATAAAGCTAAAAAATGTCAATTTGGTGTAATATTCACCCTTTAAGATGATTCATATTTCTTGTCCTCTTTGTCTTTTCTACCCAAAACTCATTTATTTGGCCTTTTGGATGAGAGAAACATACCAAAACAAATCTGATGTTGACATTCTTAAAGAATTTTTAATGATTAAATATTTATTTGTAAGTGAAAAAATAGCTATTGTGTACGGTACCTGCTATTAAACATATACAGCACTTTTTATTTTCCTACTTGATTCTATTTTCTCCCTCTTTGATCCGTGTCTCACGTAGAAAGGTTCTTATTCTGCTGTTAATCTCCATGACAATATCAGTGTCTTGACTGATGGCGGGTTTAATTGTATCTTGGTTGAACTCAATAACGAGTAGCAAACAGAAGATAATGAGAATTTTGTTATTAAAGTTGTGTGTCTGTGTTTCACCCTTCATTCATTTTATGATTACCATATAGAATGTTTTGATTTCAGGCTTATCAGGAGCAAATTATTTTCCATGATCGTGGAGACACTTGTTTGTTTCATGATTTTTTTTCCCCCCTCCTGTCTGGTCGTCTTTTTATTATATTAACTTGTTCTTATTGTCTTCTCTTTTTAATTTTTTCCTCTCTCTATGTAATTTCACTTTTTTTCTTTATCTCACCTTCTCCCCATTTTCATGTCATCTTAAAATTACAGGGAGAGAAGGATTGGGAAAAATACGAGGTTGCTCGGAAACTGAAGTCATGTGTGGACGACATTCGGAACCAGTACCTCCATGATCTCAAGTCTAAACAGATGGTGACACGCCAGAGAGCGGTGGCTCTGTACTTCATAGACAAGGTCTGATTTTAAGCCAGCACAAAATTAAATCAGCTCTGTTACATTTAATTAAATTATTTATTTTTGTTTCATGTCAGAAAACTCACAGCTTGTTTCTTTCTCTGCAGTTTTTATAGACGTGGATTTATCTAAAGGTCATTCAGACCACCTAATGTCAGCTTTTCTGCRATTTTTGACTGTATTTCTGGGATGGATACATGTAACAATACAATCTTTGTCTTTTTCTTTTCATCAAAAAACCTAAAAGCTGGCTCTGAGAGCTGGTAATGAAAAGGAGGAGGGGGAGACTGCAGACACAGTGGGTTGCTGCTCTCTTCGGTTCGAGCACATCACCTTACACGAGCAGCTGGATGGTAACGAGTACGTGGTGGAATTTGATTTCCTGGGTAAAGACTCCATTCGCTATTACAACAAGGTTCCAGTCATCAAGAAGGTAACTGGTGAAGAGACACTAAAAACACCCCCACATCCATAATTTCCTGCTCTTTTTGGTTGGGAAAACTTTATATATATATAAAAAACAATAACATTTTTGTCCCAATATTCTAATATAATTTGAGCTTTTCTCATCGCAAGCCATAAACTAAAACTAATAATTTATTGTGGTAAAAATACATTCAATCATAATATGCCTTTTGAGTTTAGCTGAGTCCCTGCAGAAAAAGGTCACTTGCTTCTAAATTAACAACCACAAAGCCCACAGCCTTTTTTCCCTATTTCCATTCCAGCTATACTCAACAGTTTACAGTCAAACAAAATGGTTTCTCTCAGCCAGCAGCTAGAATAAGTGCCAAATTAACTACAAAAAAACGCCACAATGTGGAAAAACAATGGTAAAGTCAAAGTGCAACCGATGTGTGAGAGAGAAAACAAGATTAGACTGAATAAATGAATCATTACAAATTTAAAAATATTACATGAACAAATAAAATAACTAACTAAAATAATTTTAGTAATTAAACAACTAAAATCTAAGATAGAATGTAAAAAATTATTTATTATAAGGAACAGTTTAAAGCTAAAGGAAGCTCATTTAACCTATTCTTGGAATGACATCTATCATGGCTGGAGGATAAGGTTTTAAATGTTGCTCTCCAGTTGCATTCATTGATATTGGAATATGCAAATGTGTAAAAAAATGATAGCAGCAGAGGCAGAAGTAATGTAAAAATTACTTCTTGTTATGATAAAACCTTAAAAAAACTCYGAATCTTGTATTTCCTGCAGTGCAAGTCAAAACCACCTTTCAGTCGACTCCAACCTGCACTCCAAATGTCACAGCAGTCATTTAGGGTTATTATTTTTTCCACCCCCTTTAATGCCGTTTAGAGTTTCATGAGTTAAATAGACTTTCAGAACTACTTAAGGTTGTTGTTTTTCCAGTGTAAAGACTAATGACAGGAAGCCTGTTGAAGCCTATTGAAAATTTCCCCGGTGGGTGATTCAGATTTTTCATAGTTCACAGTACAAGTTAATAGCCCTTTGCCGAGGTTCATTTCTACTTCGTTTTATTTTTCTATGAAGGCATTCTGTCTCTAATTTCTTGCACCAGAAGATGGAATGTTAAAGCTTTGGTGAGAGCCCACCTAAGTAAAATTGCTGAATGTTCATCCATCCATCCATCCATTTGCTTCCGCTTATCCGAAGTCGTGTCGCGGGGGCAGCAGCTTCAGAAGGGAGGCCCAGACCTCCCTCTCCCCAGCCACTTCTTCCAGCTCCTCCGGGGGAACTCCAAGGCGTTCCCAGGCCAGCCGAGAGACATAGTCCCTCCAGCATGTCCTGGGTCTTCCTGGGGGCCTCCTCCCGGTGGAACGTGCCCGGAACACATCACCAGGGAGGCATCCAGGAGGCATCCTTACCAGATGCCCGAGCCACCTCAACTGGCTCCTCTCGACATGGAGGAGCTGTGGCTCTACTCTTGAGTCCCTCCCGGATGACCGAGCTTCTCACCCTATCTCTAAGGGAGAGCCCAGCCACCCTGCGGAGGAAACCCATTTCGGCTGCTTGTATCCGGGACCTCGTTCTTTCGGTCATGACCCAAAGCTCATGACCATAGATGAGGGTAGGGACGTAGATCGACCGGTAAATAGAGAGCTTCGCTTTCTGACTCAGCTCTCTCTTCACCACGACGGACCGGTACAACGCCCGCTTTACAGCAGACGCTGCGCCAATCCGCCTGTCGATCTCCCGCTCCCTTCTTCCCCCATTCGTGAACAAGATCCCCAGATACTTAAACTCCTCCACTTGAGACAGGGYGACCCCCCTGACCCGGAGAAGTCACTGAATTAAAAATAAAAGTGAAAGTACTGAACACACTAACTGATTTTATTTTTTATTGGTTAAATTGACACAGGTATGCAGAAAATCAAACAATAGCATCAGTGCCAAACAAAGTGGGATTTCTTTTTGTTTTGTGAATAAAAAAAATGGAAAAGCCTCTTAGTTTGAGAGTCCACATGTGTGTATTTTTACCTGTAATAATATACGTGGATTTTGACTGGTTAATGAAAAATGTATTAGTAAATCATGACAATTAAGTCAAAGGGAACAAGTTTTATCACTGCTAAAATAGAAAACAGAGTGTGTTAGGATTATATGTGTTTATCTCTACTTTTAGTCATAATCTTTAAAACAATGGTCACATTTGTGTTTAGAAGTATGTGTACCGTTATGTAAATTTCGAACCCATTCTTTGGTGTCAGCCCATGCTATCTTCTATTCCAGAGATGGGAAAAGAAATGTTAACACCTGACAACCAAAGTGTTTTTTTCTTGGCAGAACATATAATTATTCAAATGAGTGCATTCAGAAGCATCACATTAGCTAGAATTAATTAGTCCCTGCATATTTTAGCATCATCAATTCCCTGGCAAATCGGTGTGATTGCTGCTAAATGTCACTTGGAATAAAAGGGAACAGGAATCAAAGAAAGGAATTTAAATTTTTAACCTCTTAAGCTGTTTAAAAGGATTGAAACGAACCATAGGGGTATATCCCAATCCATCCGTGACATTAAAACTACTGACAGGTAAAGTAAAATGCACTAATAATTCAGTTTACAAACCAAATGTTTTCAAAGGAAAACCTTTTATTGAGATGACACTGACATTAACAGCCTGAATATTGTTGCAGGCTGTGAACAACTGAACATCTTCCAGGGTGACATCACTTATTGACACCTTGGAGAATAACCGGCCCCATCACACATCAAAAACAAAATGAAGAGCACGATTCAAAACTTCATACATTGGACTGATCTTGTCTCAGTGACAGACCTACACGTTCATTCTTTTATGTATGCAGTTGTAGATGTTGACTTGAAAATTTTACAGCATAAACTATAAATGCATATTTTTCTAATCTAGAGGAAACTATTGAATAGATGTCAATCGATGTCGAGGTTGAACCATGCAGAGCACATAATAGCCCGCCAGTAACATGTCTCATGTGTCATTTGTGAATAGAAAGTCCAGAGTAAGAAGGTAACAATTGGGTGACTAATGAGTTGTCAATAAGTAATTGTGCAGCATCTCTTTGAATTTGCCAACTGAATACATATTGATCAGAGCCTCAGAGGGTTTTTGTTTAAAATTCAGTACTTACTGTAGCTCTTACCCAGTCTGACAGAATGGTTTAATCAAATGATGTCAGTGTGGAGACTAATATAGACAAATAAAAATGTTGCGTACAGCCAGCTTACTGAGCATCTCTTTTTAAATTATTGTTTGCGTTTTCAGTATGCATTCTCCAAAACCCACAAAACATTCAGATCAGCTCTCTTTGATGTTTTGTTTGGCTGATTTTTTAAGACAGATTCACAGATCTCAGATTTAGCATTTTTACTTTTTTAAATAATATTTTTAGATCACAAATACAAAGCTGACATCCAAATCTGCCAATTATTGCCTGTGTGTTTTGTATAAAGAAACACATTTGTTGCTGTTAATTGSTGTTTTGCATATTTCAGTGGTTCATTCTGACAACTGAAGGAACATCTGTGACATCTGTGGAACTCAGTCACTGAAAATGTCAGATATAATTGCACCGATTTTACTCCTCTGGCACTGCCGTGTGATGGGCGAATTAAGAAACACATCCATACACAGCAGTGATTCCAAACTGTACTGAAATGCATATGTTCATTTATTGGTTATAAGAGCTTTTCAGTTACTGCCAAACGTGTTAATTTATTAATGTTTTCTTCTCAGGTTAAACAGCTATCAGAACATTCAGCATAACACCCTGAACATTATGTTCAGCCTCAGGTCAAAAGAAGAAACTGAGACAATAAATGTTCATTTTTAAGGTTTAAATCTCAAGATATTTTATCTAACTTGTTGGTTTCAGGTTTTCAAGAATCTCAAACTTTTCATGGAGAACAAGGAACCTGGAGATGACCTCTTCGACCGTCTGAATGTGAGTGTGTCACGGTCTTATTTTCCTGCTTTATGTGATACCAGTTTTTCTACATGGGAAGTTTRGTAATCTTTGTTGAATTTACATTTGATTAAGTACTAAATTTTGTTGTCAAAAGAAATTGTTTAAGAAATGTTCCGAAAACTATTCAAAAGTTCAGAATTTGTGTTGCTTTTTKCAGGAAACAACCTGAACTTGGGTACTGGCTTGTGTAAAAAGTGAGAAACCTCTCTAAGATGTGTAAAGAGTAAAATGTAGAAAAACACGGGGAAAGCAAAATAGAATTAGTTTTTTCTTTTTAATGGACAAAGGACAGAAGTAAAAGGAGAAGCGGGTACTAAATTGCAAGGTGCGAGAGATGAGATTGGCTGAGGATGAGCCGTTGCTGTGGATAGATGAAAGGGCTAAAGCGAGGTAACGGAAGGTGAGGAGAAGAGKAAGAATATTAGAAGCAGAGAGACTGAAAGCGGGAGAGGAGTTTCAAAAGAAACGGGGACGGACTCTGGCAGATAAAAATGAAAGTGTGCAAGGGAAAAATTTAGAGTGAACATGCTGGGTGGATGAATTTCCACACATCAAATCTAGCATCCTCTCAGCTGCCTCTGCAGCTGCAGGGAGCCAGGCCACACACACTGTACATGTCAGCTTTCTTAGGCTGCTTACAAGAAATACAAAGCTAAAAGACAAAAAATAAATAAATAAATAATTCATTGTGTTTTTTTTTTTTTTTTTTAAGAAAATGCGTTCTAAACTATTGTAGCTTGTTGTAGAAATTTGGCTTTTCTCACAGGAAATCTGTTTATTTTTTTTTTTTTCCGGCTGATCCCTTCTGCAGGGGTTGCCAGAGCGGGTGAACTCATGTGAAAGATGTAGCAATTGTTTTACACCGGATGCCCTTCCTGATGCAAGCAGGGCTCAAACTCACAGCCTCAGGATTACAAGAGCGCAGCCCCAAACTCACTGTCTGATGTGCTTTGGTCAAATATTCTGATTGAAATGCATCTTTTTTCCCCCCAACGCTTTAAGGAGAAGCAGGATTGTTGATTCGAACTTATCCAACAAATGAAACGCTTCCTTTGGAAAAATGTGTTGACCGGCATGGAGGGGAAAATAAAGAGATGCTGTAAAGAAAGCACGTTGGACATCAAAGAGGCTACCTTGTGTTGGTGTGTTAAGGCTGGCAGATGGGAAAAAGAAGAACAGAGTTCAGAATGTAAGCTGGAGATGATGAACATGGGAAACGTGGTTCTCCCTTTGATTTCAGTTTGTCAGGAATGTTTTTGTCTTGGACGTGGAGTAGTAATAGTTATTTATGGCCGTCCTGATGGAAAGGCCGGTRCAGGAAAAGCAGGATTAAGAGGAGGAGGTTGGAGGAGAAAGATGGAGTCATTAAGATGTGATAATTGGTTTCTTATCAGCATCTTTCACACTCTGCATGTCCACACACCCCTGCTCACATGTCCCAGTTTACACTCACAGCTGAGTGCTAAAAGGGAGAGATGGTGGCTTAAAAAATTTAGAAGAGAGAAAAGATAAAACTGAGTGAACCAGCATKTTTGTTATTGCTCTTCTGAATTTTACTTTAAAATTGATAAAAAAATAAAAAATCAAAAACAAACAGTTGTTCCTTTTTTTAAAGAGGTGAGAGAGAAAAAATGTTCACCGGTTGAAATGTTCTATTTAGATGCTTTAGAAACATAGTAAAAATTGGTGTGTTTTGTTTTCCTGTGTGGCTCCTCCCCTAGTTTACCCACCAGGACACCGTTGGGTCTTGGAGAGGAGACAGTGTCTCCTTCTTGGTTTGGAGGTGATTGACCAGACTTACAGCCACCTGGGGTGGCCTGTGTGGCCGAGTCCGGCATGTCTCCTCCAGGAGACAGGGGTGGGAGCCTTTAGCTCGGCCTCTAGCTGCCTTCCTTCCGGTGGTCGCTCCCTTCATGAACCCCAGCCTCTGGATCAGCGCAGTAGCTCAGGACGCCTCCAGCAGCCGGTCACCACCGCTAATGGTAGCCGCTCCCTCTTAGGATCTGCACTTCTTACAATGACCGAGATAATGTTCAGGGGAACTGTTAAAGGGAGTTATCCCMTCTCCCCAGGCTAATAACCATTAAAAAATGAACTTATTATCAAGTTATGACTTTATCATTACCTCTTGGCTTCAAAGTAAACACACTCCTTAATATGTTAATACCTTGTTGCTCTGAAGTAATGACACACTCATGTAATCAGAGAAAAACTTTAAAAAACAATGTCCAGTCATGGAATTGTCTTTATGATGCTGTAAGCAGTTTAATAGAAATTTGCAAGAAAAGCCACATTTGATTATACAGATTAAAAATATTGAACAATAATTGATGGTGGTAAAAATAAAGAGATCTAAGATGCTGACCTAACCTTGTGATTAAGCTGTGTGGCATTTTCTGTTAATTTGGACGGCAGGACAGTTGGAGTAGAGTTCTTTTTACCTCCATGAAAAGTAGCAGACTGTTGCCAGAGAGAACTTCTCAAAGCTGGGTTGTTTAATCTGGTCTTTGGTCTGTAGATTGCTGGAGAGCAGTGTGGCAGCTTGTCCCAGCTGAGATGCCTCTTAGACCTGTTGCTCCTCTTCTTAGGCTGTCGTAGCCTTTGCTGCCTCTTCTCCAGACRGGGCCAGAAGATGACTTACTGCTGAAACTGCTCCCTTTTTATACTATTTTTGGGCTATCTTACCACCCTTTCTGTCATTTCGTGATAGGCTGGGGTTTTCCACCACTGGACTTTTTGTGTACTTTCCAGAGTGAAGTAAYTTTGCCGATCCTTGTAATAGGACTCCCAGGGACTTTCCGTGGTGAGGTAAACCGACTTGTCTCTACMACAGGGCCTCTAGGACTTTCCAGACAAAAACCCCACTTCTCATTTTTTCTATTATTGTTCCTCTGTTTTGCAGAAGTACAGTCTGTCCTTTTTACCATCCAAATGTAGCACACACACCCTTTCTTCATTTTAAGACATACAATAGCACTTCTCTTAAATCACCATCTAACATTAAAACACATTAATTATCACAGTACATTAGTTAAATTACACTTTGCAATAAGCATATAATTATCACACTTGTTATTTATTTGCCAGCATTAAAATCAATCAAAATTAATACTTATTACTAGTGCTGGGCGGTATACCGTTTTGTACCGAATACCGGTTTTTATTTTTAYATGAATTTTTTGAATACCGGACATTCCAGTTTAAATAGCAGAACGTTTCGTCGCGGCCGCCAGTGAACTGTTGTTTCCCGGCGGACATTTTTCCTTGCTGCACCGCTATGTACGTTAGCATGCTAATGTTTGGAGCAGCTAGTTGCAGCCGCGGGTGGCGATTCCGCTGCTTATATTGACTGACATTTAAAAAAAACATCCCGTTTTCGCCGTCACTGAATGTAGTTAACACCTCTTCAGTGACGTGCACAGTTAGATTTAACACGGTTTATTATGGAGATGTTATGCTGATGGAGACTTAATGTGGTTTTATTGTGAAAAGCCTGGGGGAAGTAGTTCGTAGTGGAGTTAGAATTGACTGGTGTGCAAGGTGAGTCGTGCTGATAAGCTTTAATAAATAACATAAAACAATAGACCCRATCATAATCTTTTCTTAACCCTCCTCCTTCACGACTGGACCAAAATGCATGATTACTGTCTCCAAMCACCAGTCAGAGAAGAACAGACACAGAGGAGGGAAACAGCGACACAGACAGAGGTACAGTAAAAGAAAACAAAGTCAATAAGCAGGGTTTGTACATTTTATTATCAGCTGAGCTGTGATGAAAAGAAAAATACCGTCAAATACCGTGAAACCGGTGAAAATGTTAAATACCGTGATATAAAATTTTGATCATACCGCCCAGCTCTACTTATTACTCCTTATCACTCCTTATTACTCCTTCACTTTCTTCTACCTGCGTTTCTCTTCTCTCAGGCCCATTATTCCTGCATCCCGGTCTCTCTTATGGCCTCTCTTTCTGTCGCGTCCTCCTCTCTGTTGGGGGTCAAAGACAGGCTCCGCTGACCTGTTTCCAATCCTTGTAATGGTTGGCACAGCCAGGTTTCTTGACAGTTTGGATAAAAAGTTATTTTATTCAAAGTCAGTAATTTCACCAATATGTTGCATGAATTACAAATGAATGAATGGGAATTTTATTCATTTTAACTAGTTTAAAATGAACATTGCTTGTAAAAGATGAGAGCACAAACTCTTAGCACACTTCAGAATATCAAGTTTAGGTGTAGAACAATGAATGAAGTAAAATGATAACCTAACAGGGCTGAAGATATTATTTTCTAATTAATAAATCAAATGGTCTAAAAATTGAGAGAATTGGACTTTTTAAATTAAAATGATTTGTGCGTCAGCAAAGTGAAATATCCCGTTTTAAAAGCAGTCTGTTTCGTCACAAAACTCCAAACTAAAAGGCTGTTTTTTATTTTTATGCATCAGAATGAATGCACAAAGGAACCCTGGTTTAATAAGACCTTTCAGTGCTGATTGATCGTACTCAGTAACATTTCAAAGAAATAATACTCGTTTTGAGAAGGATGTGAAATGCTTAGTCATGAAATACAGTAGCTGCACACATGCAGTCTTGTTAAAATTATTCCAACTGAAGATGCAGAAGTTTATCAGTTTTCTCCAGAAGCATCTTCCTGAAAGCCTCTATTATCTGCTGTTAACTATAACCTCAAAGCCCGTTCTTTAACTAAAGCTGCAGTCGTATGATTACCTTTAGTACAATTTAGTCCCCACCTGATGGTTTAGTTGCTGTTTTTCTCCCTCATCCTCTCTACTTTATATTCTTTTCTTCTGTTTTTTTTTTACCCAATGCAGAGAATACTGAAGAATATTTTAGGAGGTTAGTGGATATTTCTACCAGGAACTGGTTGCATCAACACAAATTTACTTAAAGTATGATGATGAGAAAGTCAAACATGTTGCATACCTTTTTTTTAGATGATGAATCATAAAAGGTTGTAATCCCATGTTTTAGTCGGGTGACACGGATGACCTGTACAAGCACTTGTGTGTATGCAGTGTGCGCACACAACACACCATGTCGGTGGAGTTAAGGCTGTGAGAACTAACCACACATGCCCTCRAACTGGCAGACTCCCTCATTAGTATTGCTGGGACAGAGTCGGGCAGCTCATTAGCAGGGCAGACAGCAGCTAAACTGTACGTGCATGGTCCGCAGCACATTCGTGCACTTGTATAGTTCGTATACATAAAAAATATACTTGTTTGTTAATAATGGGCTCCTTCAACCTCTAAAAATCACCTTTTCGGTTTTCTATTTATCCAAATGATTTATTTTGAGCTCCTGAGCGAAATGATGTTTTTCGACTTGGATCCATAACCAAAACACGTGGGTTGAACTTGACTTAAAACTGGTTACTTTCTTTAATAAGAATTGAAGTGGATTTCAGCTTGTTTGCTGCACAATGCCTTGAGGTGACTCATGATCCGGCACTATATAAATGAACTAGATTGAACTTTTGCTTGCTTGTTCGATTTCTCCAATATTCACCACGTATCAATAAGWATGAGATTATTTTTCTTGCTTTTATTTCCCCCTGGACTCTGTGCATTTACAGTTAGTTATTTGTGGTGTTCTTTTTAAACCGCTGTCGGTTTATAGGATAACTAATCTCTAACCACAGGCTATGACAAATCTAACTTGCTGTAAGAAATGCCAGATGGGAAATGGTACTATGATCTGTCTTAATCTCACTGCGCTAATGGATCATAATAAAGACTTAAAGGCTAKTTTATGTTTATTTGCAATCCTGTAGAAGCATTCAACACCACAGAAGCACATAACCGCAGTGCCACCTGGTGGTTGAGAGCATTTTGAACTAATGGTTTTRTGATAACTTGTTTTTTAATGTCTGTACGTCTCCTGGCTGTTTGTCGTTGCAGACGAGCCTTCTRAACAAACATCTGAGCTCTCTGATGCCTGGTCTGACTGCAAARGTTTTCAGGACTTATAACGCCTCCATCACCCTGCAGCAGCAGCTGAAAGAGCTCTCRAACAGTAAGTCACACATTCAGCAGGCTTTAAAGAGGCTAACTCTACATAAACTATACAGCATAAMGAAGTTTCTGAAAGCAACGGTTCATTTTCCTCAGCTCATTATCTGCCCAGCTTGTTATTATGCAGCCCTCTATTCTTGATTTTATTCATGATATAGTAATGTCTGTAAGCTTTTTCAGCTCTGGCAGGAGCACATTACTGTACCCAGTGCTGTGCAGCTCTGCTTACCTCTTATCAAGGTCCCATCAGCTGCCTCTGCTACAGATTCTCCATCAGAGATAGAAGTGTTACTCTTCTCTTTTCCAAACTGCTGCTGGGAGCCGGACATGTTAGTGTTACATGAGCCCCAGAATAAATTAAAAAAAGATAAAAGGGATTTTAGTCATTTAAATCCAACAGAGGAATAAGAAATGTGTATTTGGAGAAGGGTATGAATACATACACTCACCGGCCACTTTATTAGGTACACCTGTCCAACTGCTCGTTAACACTTAATTTCTAATCAGCCAATCACATGGCGGCAACTCAGTGCATTNCCAAAAGATACATTGACCATTTCTGCACAGTTATCAAATTTGTTGCATTCAGGGCTCAAAGACTCCACTAGTGCTGATTAGGTAGCTTCAATTTGCACAGAAGTTAGTAAAAAATCCACTTTGAAACCAAGATCATAATTCTGTTGGTCCGCTACTATTCTGCTCTAGAACTTCAAATCCCACTTCAGCATATTATTACTTTGTTATTTTACTTTTAAATAATCGATTCCAAAAGTTCCTCTGAGGGATCCTGATCAGCTTCTGTGTGGTACTTTTCAGCTTATTAGGTGCCCCTACAAGACCCTTTTGCTGTGATGGATGAAGAGGTGGTCCTGCAAGAAGAGGACATGGACGGCTCATGGACGCTGCTGTCCTTGTTGGCGTCCGTCCTCATGGTGTTTGGGGGGTCCCTGCCGTATGTCCCTCAGTATCAGGAGATCCAGAGGATTAGCAACACCGAGGGCTTCTCCACCAGAGTGTGCCTGGTGCTGCTTATAGCCAACATCTTACGCATATTTTTCTGGTGAGCATATTATTTAAACAAGAAAAAGGAAAACTTTAGTGTGCTGTCTGGGTTGTAAGCACGGATTCTCCTTCGTGAACGGTTTCTGCTTGATTTCCGATCGCTCTCACAGGATAGGCAAGCAGTTTGAGCTGACTCTGCTGCTTCAGAGCGTGGTGATGATCGTGACCATGTTCGCCATGCTCCATCTCTGCTGCACGGTCCAGAACAACAACCAAGTCAGCACCAAGCAGCATCGACTCACAGGTGAGCGCCTCCTGCCAAAACTGACAGCCTGCGTGTACAGCTGAGGTGGGAACACATTCCTAAAGTTTTTACACCACTAGAAATGAACTCCAAGACTGCAAATCACATTTCTGTTACTCCGATCCTCTCTGTCAGCAGTTTAAATGCCAAGTCAGGCATTTGTATTTCTTGCCAAAAGAGGGAGCCATTTGAAAAGCTTAAATAGAAACATTCTGCTGGGAGACTGACTTTCTCTTTATTCAATAGTTACACGTAGTCAGATGTTGGCTAAATAATTGCTACTTGTTTTTGTCCCATTAGAGAAAAAAAATGCATTTTTTTAAAGCATATTTTAAAAAGTTTTAAAATTTATGTGTTGGAGCCTTGGATGTGAGTCATGTCATGAAGAAGAGGTGCCTTAGAAAGTGAGGATGTGTGTCTGTGATTGATTAAGCTGACTGTAATATCATTGTTCATTCTGTGTGCGTGTCTGTGTGTGTGTGCATGTGTGTGTGTGTGTGTGTAATTGTAGTAAGATGTGTTTTCTTGTTAGACTTTTCTTGTTTAAATACAAATTGTGATTCTTTCACCACCCAAAGAATCTGACAATGTGGCAGAGAAAATGCTGTCCTACAACCGGGCCAACAGAGCTGTCGCTATTCTCTGTAACCACCAGCGGGCGCCACCAAAGACCTTCGACCAATCAATGGCAAACCTTCAGGCCAAGGTAAGGCAGCTGTGTTTAGTTCTCTGCCCTCGGTCACAGCTGCTTAACATTCAAGACACACAATGAATATATTTTAAAACCTCCACAGCTTAGTTTTTTTTAGTATTGTATATGGAAGGACTTATGTTTTTGTTTCTTCCACTCAGATTGATGCTAGGAAGGAACAGCTGGCTCTCGCTAAAACAGAGCTGAAACAGGCCAAGAAGGAAGCAAAGACCAAAGGCAGCTCAGACCCTAAACTGCAAAGGTAAACGTCACAAATACTCACCTAAACAACCACAGTCTGCAAAGTTATTTGATGGAATGTGATTTACTGTCATCAGCTGCAATCACTTAACTTTTACAAAACTCCGTTTCTGTAAAGGCACATTTTCTCCAGGTTTTACATTTACTGTTTTTAGTTATTTATAGACAACACATCCATATTTTAAGAATGAGTGGATGTAACATTAAAGAACACTTTCTTTTTTTATTTTATTTATTATTATTTCTTTTTTACCTTTGCCATCAGTTGTTGTTTTTTTTCCAGCATCATGTATTTATCTTGTCAGTTTGGTGGAGCGAAAGAAGGCAGCAGTGAAGCGCTGTGAGGAGCAGCTTCTGAAGATGGAGGTCCAGGCAACTGACAGAGAGGAGAACAAACAGATTGCTCTGGGTACCTCAAAGCTCAACTACCTGGACCCACGRATCACTGTGGCCTGGTGAGTTTATACTAATCTAAAGTGAGCGCCGCACAGAATCGTAAACAAAGCAACAGTGAAAGAATTGATGAATGTTTAGTGGATCTCAACCATTTATGAAAGAAAATCCTAATTATTGTGTTAATATAAATAAAACCATAAATCTCAAATTAGACATTAGATGTAAAACTAGCTGTGATATTAAACTTGTGGAAATAGTTGACCAAAGTAACAAACCATTTTCAAAATACACCATCTAAAAACTTCAAATGTTTTCTTTTTAAAATCCTAATAAACTCACTTGAAAGTTGTTAAACTTTCAACTAAACAAGTCACCGGTTGACATTAACATTCATTCTATGTAATGTAGGAAATAAACAGTTACAAATTGTACAGTTTTTTTTCCTTCAAAAAATCGATCAGAAATAAATGTCATGGTTTAAACATAATTGAGTACAATATGAAGCTAGATGAGTATTACAGAATTTAAGGTGATTTATTTTGTCTTTATTCAGAGATGATTGTTTCAACTGCTAATAAATATTCATTTATACATCATCCATATAATTTTGTTTGTTGGTGAGTGAAAATCTTAAATTGTGTTTACATGGAAATGAGTTGGTGGTTGAAGCTAAAAGTGAATGTTTATTTCTCCAGGTGTAAGAACATGGAGGTGCCTATAGAGAAAATCTACAATAAAACCCAACGAGAGAAGTTTGCCTGGGCCATCGACATGACGGAAGCAGACTTTGAGTTCTAAATCTTCACTTCTGAAACTCCAAAATCATAAACTGACTCCATTATACAACCAAGGAACCTTTTTACTTTATAGAACATACTAGAAATGCAATATTAGACTGAAGATGGGCTGCAGAGTGGTACAATCAAGCTTAATGTTATTGTTCACTACTGTTTTTTGTTTTTGCTTTGGGCTCTTATTTTGCCAAAATTTGCATATTGTTTATTTTTTTATTTTAATTTTTTTCAATAAAGGTTCCTACTTGGCAAAGTGAAGATGTGATATTGTCAAAAAAATTAGATTTTGTAGATATGGTTGTTGGAAGTGCCTTAATTGCATGAGTTTAAATTGAATTATGCATTATTTCTCTCAGCTTAGTTGAYGAAGATTAAAACATGATTTCACCATCAGTGTGGACCACAAAGCATGCAACCTTCAAATATTTCTGACAGCGAACGTGCATAAGTCTTAAACGTCTAAACATTTCTTTAAAATATTTAGTCAAGGTCCAAACTGTATATCAAATCCCTCTTTGGGAATCACTTTGTTAGGATAAAATACAGATTTATCCATGTGACTTTGTTTGGCATTTTTATAAATTCAACTAAAATGGAAACAAACCATTRGACAGGCTGCTGATGGCAATGTGAAGATCCAATTTAAACTTGGTTCAATGTTAAATGGGTTGGACAAACAATTTAATGAAATTTCGGGAAGCTTGTAAAACAAATATCGTTATTTAAGAAAAAGGTTTAGTTGCAATCAAAACAAAGAAATGAAGTGGCTAAAGACTTATGCACTGCACGGTAAATGTTCTGGTTTATAAAAATAAACAGCACCTTGTATTTTTCTTTGCGTCCCCTTCTGCAACCAATCAAATATGTATCAGATTGCAAACTGCAGTATATGAGATCGATTTAATAGAATATTAGAAGTGGAATGCATATCACAAACAGTGCTGTTTATCAAACACTTGGTTCAGTGCGTCACTGGTAGCGTGGTTCTATTGGCCTGTTGCCAGTGGGTTTTAGTTCTCAGCAAAGGMTGGGTCAGAACAGACCCTCTGCACCATCACATCAAGGGACTGACTGATACAATTAAACGACAGCAGCTAAAAAACACTGCATTCCTCTAAAGTTCTAAAAGGCATACCACTAGCTTACAAATGACGTTCAATCGTTCAAGTCATAACGTTACTGTAACCGTTTCACAATATTCAATATATAAAAAACATGTCACATAACAGCAAATCAACAGGTCATTTTCAGTTAAAAAGGCTGCTCCTCCTGGATCCAGGACCATATAGAATGCCTTCTTGTTTATGAACCTGGAGAACAGGACAGGAAAAAAAAGAGGAGGGGGGTTATGTTCATGAGCATACACAAAATCTGGCAAATTAAGCATGAGAACCCAGTAAAAGCTTGCTTTCTACATCTCTTACCTTCATTACGATCCTTGACCTTCTTTAGCCTTTTCCGGTGGTGCCTCGATCTCTTCAACACCAGCCTGGGTCATCAAGTCAGCAATGTTCTTCTCCAGGTCATCGATACGTGTGCTCATCTCATCAAGTATATGTTAGTTAAGAAAAATCCTATTTAATAGATTAATTTTGAAAAAGTTAAAAGTTCCCCAAATTTCTGCTAAACCAGTATTTGATTATGCTATTTAAAAAAAAAATCAATATTTGAATTAAAAGAAGACTAAATGATAAAACTGAGTCCTGGCACATTGTAAGGATATTTCTCCCAATTATCTGGTCTGACATGGTCTGGAACTTGTCCTGCATCTGTTGCAGGAGTGTCTGAACCTGTGGGCAAGAAAACATTAAAGTTGGTCAACTAGAACACCAATTAAATATAGTTTATTTGAATGTTAAACATTCCTAGTCTTTATCTGGCAATAAACAACATACAGCYATGTTTTTTAAAGGTAAAAAAAAATCTTTCTCCCACTCTGTTAGTAGCCATGGAGATGTTTTGAACTCACTGTTTAAGAGCATGTGTGCTGCACAGTGAAAGCAGCAACGCACCCACACAGTCATAACATTATCAAATTGCTGATCTTAAAAAAACAGGGTCTGGAGGCGTCATTCAGTGCTTATTCCACCAACTTTGGCTCATTTCCACGGTAACACACACATTACCCACGATGAAGACCTTTTAGAAGCTTTATCGTGTAAGTTCAATTTATTCATTATAATGGACACTGACAATTATATATTTTTTCATACTATCAAACAAATATACAGCTGTGAGTTCATAGAACAGATAAGTGATGTGCAGTTTCCATTTGGTGATGACATAATTTGCATGACCGATCATTGAATATTAAATTGTGATGACGCTGAGCAAATGTCAGCAGTTTAATTCTGCCAAAATAAAATAACCATACGTGYGCAATTTTAATGTATCTTAAATAAGGACGATGGCTAGACTGAATAAACTTTGGAACCTAGCTTGTTAAAACTTAGCATTCTTGTTAGCAAAGCCAGCTAAAGCTGTGTAGCTAGTAGCACTAGCCAGGCTAGCTCGAATCACGGTCACGACTTACCACATTGGTAAGATCCTGCACCGATTTGGGGTCCGTCTCWGCCATGTTGTGATGTTAGTGTTAATAAGTGCCTTCAGAGTACTGGAAAAATAAATCAACTATTAAACCGCTGCTTACTAGTAGATGTGTTTCTGCTCGCAATAAACAACCACCTAACGCCCAGAGTCAGCAGCTGCTTCCACAACAAATGAAATCTCGCGAGAGTTCCGTCATCGCTAAGACGTGTGGGAGATGTAGTTTTGGGTGAAGAACAGTAATTTTTTTACAACTTTGTTGAATTTCATATTAAAAATATTGTATGCATTGTYGTATAACACTTAATCAAATATAATGAAATAAAAACAACAACTTTAACACGAGGATTAGAGAAATGTTATACTTTAAAAAAGTATGCGCGCGCGCGTGTGAGAACAGCTGCGCGCGCACGTTTCTTTTCCTCTGAGCGAGTTGGGATTTGAAACTTCAACTTGGAGCTGACGGGGAAACAGTGTGTTTTCACTTCAAAGTATTCACGTTAAGTGAATAAATGAGAGCGAATGAAGGCGACTGGTGAGTACAGCTGGAAACTGGTAAACAAAAACACAAAATGTTAAACGACTGTTGCGGTTTTAGAATCTAAAAACCCCCAGAGACTAGAGAGGAACATAATCTGATCCGACGTTATTGTGAGCATAACATTCCTCAGAGTATTTCTCGGACTTTAAAAATCTCAGTGTAGCGACAACTATAGGCCTATATATAAATTGGGTTTCCTTATTTTTATTTATAATAATGACTAATCGCGTTTGTGCTTTGCAAAGCAAGCCCAGAAGCCCGAAATTGATGCAGTTGTGTGCGTTAATATGTTGGCCCAACCCCGTTAAACTATGCTTTCCTTACACAACCAGACTTGTTCTGTTGTCAGARATGGCCCAACACTAGGTTTACTCCCAACACCAGTAATAACCCAAACAAAAACAGTACATAATTGTGTTTGTAATCCTAAAAGTGATGTGCATAAATCATTGTCCTGCAGAGCAATGCTTTATCTCATTGCTACTGAGTTCAAATAAAAATATATTTGATGACATTTCATGTTGACTTTGTGCACTGGTAACAAATGCATCAGCTGAAAATGCTAATATTGGAAATGAGTTGCAAACAGAGAACCTGTTGGTGAGGTTTTTGTTGCAACAAATCCACTTCCTAATGTTGTGATTTTCTGCTCACTGACACAGACACTGTGATAYCTGTGGAGAACATGTATGTACTGGTTTTGCAATAGTTTTTTTTTCTCCCTGTGGAAATATGTAATAGGTTGCCCAACCAAAACTAGAGGCCAGGAACAAGAATTTGTCAGTACCACAACTTTTTATTTACATAAGACCCATGCTTCTGTAACTGTACTTTTCAGTATGCTTAGAATATAGGTCAGGATCATGTGTACATAGTAACAGTCCTGGATCAAGATGTTTTTTTCTGTTTCTAATGAGCTGTCTCATGCATCTTCTGTGCTATACAGGGCAATGTAATGTAAAACCAAAAATCAGGGCATTGGCTCTCAAACTTTTATTTTTAATTACCTCTGGAAGCTTTCCAAGTACCACCATTATGACCATCGTTAAAACATGTTCACATCCAGCAGCGCCAGACACACTGTTGTTTTCTTTCTTTTTTGTTCTCACAACAAAAATAGAAATTTGAGACGACTGTAAAGATTTCTGGTCAGTGTATCTTTTGGTCATCGGATTTTCATTTTAGAAATGGGTATTAAAAAAACAAGAATTGAGTGGATATTTGATTTTTGTTTCAAAATACTGAAAATAAAATTCAAACACAAAGTGTTTCTCATTGTTAGTGTCTAAAGGGGATGAGCAAAAWTTTTTAAATGATTTGAGTTTCATTTTCTGTTTCAGATAACAAAAAAGAAAATTAATTTAAGACAGAAACAAAAAAAAGGCTTGTTTGTTCATAATCCATGACAGGTCGTGCCAATTTACTGTCTCCCTACAAATAATCTGTTTCAC